GAAAAATGGTTACCGGAGGAAGTATATGTGCTAAAGCTGAATCTTCCAAAAGCTACTGTTACAAGCTACACAATTTCAAATTGTGTTAAAATATTACTCAGCACGACCATTAAATGTTACATTGTATTCTGTTGAATATTACGTTTTAAACTGGAAAGTTATAAGGTGAAGTCAGAAATGTCTAAAAAAAAAGCCGTGAAGTATGAGTCCATTTAAATGCCAAAACCATAAAAATCCTAGTTTACTTGGCAGCCATATTTACCTCAATATCTTATTGCCAAATATTATGTGAAACTCTGCAAAGATTTTTGTTTTTTTTTAAAACACAAACGAATAAGATAATAATGCTTTTATTTTTGCATTATTTTTGCAAATTTTGTAAAGGTGTCAGAAAAGGGTATCTCAAAATACACTGGATGTTGGCAGCCAAATTGGCGGGCCATTTTTGAATTTTGGCCTTCCATTTTGATTTTTTTTAAGCTGGGTCTCGACCCCAAAAACAGGCTAACATTACATCAAACAAAATAATCAAAAATGGTTTGCTTGTAGAATTAATAGGAAACGATTATATGTACTTTTGACTCTTAACTATTATTTAAGCATGCCTAGATAAAGTTAAATCTTACAAAACTTAGTCCTTTGTGTTTTAGAAAACGTTTTTATAAAAGTAAATGACCAGTTGAACCTATTTTCCTGTTGGTAAAATTTGCGTTTGAAAAAATTAAAAATGTACAAGTATAGAGCGAGGTTTAATTTTGAAGGGGTTACAAGCATAGACCTAGCGACTTTGATACAATTTTGTTACAGTTTTACCCAGATTTCGGTTACAGTTTAGATACTTGCCAAATTTTTCAAACACGGTTCGTGTATCATTATTTTTATGAAATTTAACTTCATACCTTTCTATTTAAAGGTACTTTAAGTTTTTCAGACTTGAGACTTTTTGAGAATAAGTAATGTCCTAAGTTAAGGACTGTTTTCACGACAACAACAGTAACTTTTATCGAATTGTATTGAGAGAAAGGAAAAGATTATTGCTTGATTTCATTCACAAATTTTATAATAATGTCTATTAGTAATAAAATAGAGAAAAAAAGAATTCCTTTAACAGAAGTCCAACACGGAAAACATAAAACATGTTGCAGGATCAGTTTTGAATTAAACCTGTTCATGGATGGTTAGTGGTAACTGCAAGCTACCGTCCACCGGCCTTTCCTAGCCCGGCTTCAGCAAAATTTCACATTAAACCATAACTGGTTACACTTTAGATAGATTTTTATTGTTTGGGTCGTCAGACCAAAACAAAAAAAATGGGTAGCGAAATTTGCTTTTAAATTTGGGCAAAATGCCGATAGTATCCGCTTTTTTAAGGGGTTATTTCCCCTTTTATCTAAAAACGCAGAAAAAAATTTCAGGGGAGATCACTGCAAAAAGGGGGTCAAATGACAGGCGCTTTAAATTTTTAAAGGGAAAAAATATTTCCCCCGGAATGGTCGAAGATTTCTTATATTTTTTTTATTCTTTATAGATTATACATGTTTTAAAGTAAGCTCCTTTAATAATTTACATCAGTTTAAAACAACAGTTCCCCGTCTTTAAAAACCCCTAATTAGAATATTATGCTTTTTTTAGGCCATTAACATATAATTTCATTTTTGGCCCGGGGGTTTTGGTGTGGGCTTGGGAAGCGAGAGGTTGGATTTAAAAATCTCGTCAAGGAAACTTATTTTTATTTCAAATTTTTTAAGTCAAAAAAACATTGAATTGAATATTCAGTGTTGCATTAGTCTTTAGCCAATTTTACTACAATTTAAACGCTGGAAAGCATTTGGTGGCCACTATAGCAAAAAACATATTGGTTTTATAATCTCACAACCTTCACCATTCTGACATTTCTGAGACCCAAACAAATTCAGCGCCTTCTGTGCTTTGATTTAACATCTTGTGGATGTGTTCATATGGCGGTTATCATGGAACCTTAAATGTTACACGTTTTTGCCTTCTATTGGGAAAAAGCGGCATATTACTCCCAGGGGTTAAAAAATTCCGTGTGCCCTAAACGAGAATACCACAATGAATGAAACTAAATAAAATTGAAATTGTTGAGAGGGGGATCGCAGAGTAATGAAGCCTAACATACCATAGAATGAAGCTGTCAAAAGACACAATTAACAAGCAGGCAATACCCTAAGAATGATTAAACAGCTATCTAATGTGAGCAATATTTTAACCTTTTAATTTTATTTTTTAAGTTGGAATTTCCATCTAGTACCATAATGGTATTTTGTAAGTATTTAAAAGGGTTTGTACGTTTGGCTTTTCTTGGATTTTAAGTTTTTTTTTTCCAAACGACTCTTGAGGTTCATGTCAAAACATTCCTGCTTTATGTAAAGAAAGGACCCCCAGAATCCCTTTCTGAAATATTTCAGACGCGAGTGGGCACCTGACTAGAACCACCGACCTTCCGTAATTAGCTTGATAGATTCCTCACATAACAAAGAATCCAAAGTCATGATTGGAGTTCAATACAGCAAAGTAAATGAAAGATAATTTGAAGTCGATGGGCCTTAATCCCGACCTCTGCCCACTTTTACTTACCTCCATATCAGACTCAATAGAGAAGATATTGTAATTGTCTGACCTTAATTTTATACTCTTTAACTTTCAATATTATTTTTTTTTTCAAAAACATGGGAAAACTGCTATACAGAATGTCTGAAATTTAAGAAAAAAAAACGACTTTTACTTTAATAATGACAAAATAATCGTAAATTCAACAAAGAAGCATTCGAAAATGACGCGCCATGATCATGATTTGATTTGGATGCTTTTGGATTCGAGACGTGAAGGGTCTTTAAACATTGCCTTTTTTCAAAATCTATAGTTTGGGTTTTCGTATCCCGATTGCAACCGAAACCATTTGAACAAACTAATTGTAGAAAAGTCATGTAAATTTCATCACATTTAGTCAAAGTGTTAGTTACTGAGCGGATGAAGATTAAACACACACTGTGTATGACAGACGTAACGAATAGCCATTCGGGCCAATAAGCTCACAGAGGATTTAAAAGTCTATGTTGAAACATTCATACATTTTCCCTAGTTATATATATTATTAGAAAGTATCGAATCTAAAACTGGTAACCGAAATCTGAGTATAAACTGCTTAACCCAAAATCGGATAGAGAAATTGCTTTAGGGTCTATGCTGTAAACCCGACAAATCACTTCGCTCTATTATACTGTAACATTGTTTATTTTTTCAAACGCATTTAACGAACAGGAAATAGGTTTAGGCTGGTCATTTACTTATATAAACGTTTTCCTAAACATAAAGGACTGCGTTTTGCACATTTACTTTTTTCTATGGTATTGCATAAAGGCGAAATTGGAGAAAAAATGCGTTGCTTTCTCTCGATTCAAATTTTTCAAACTTGTCAAAATCTGCATATTTTGAGACAATATTAAACGATAAAAATCTGGGGTGGCAGAGTCTGAAGAAATTGATGACTAGATACCGGATTCTGTTCCTTACAAGCAAAGCACAAAATATCCTTAAGAAACTAAACTACTTGTAGTATTGACCTGAATAAAAATCACCTACCTGTCCTCCCAACAAATAATCCTCCATCTTTAAAATTCTATGCTGTAACCGAAAAAGGCGATACTGTAACACGTTCCCTACGGTGTAAATATATCAATTATTTTTGGAACATGAATAAGAAAACTGATATTTTCATTACACACTTTATTCTAAAGTAGTTTAGGAACTTACAAACTTCATAACGGTAAAATGATGTCATCCTTAGAACGCAATTCATTCATAAAAGTGCGTGGCAATGGCGTCATTTAAAGCACATGACTTGTCTTACTGAGGGGTGTAAGACATGGCTTTCTACACCTGTGTTAACCCGGAAGATAGATCTGTTTGATATGCAAGAAAAGTTATCTGTCTATGTTTTTTAGAAAGGGGAGGATGATCCAGTCAAGACCTCCCTCAGGATAGCTTGGGCCTTTTCCAGCTATTTTGGGAAAATCGGGGAAAATTAATCAACATTTTGGGAAATTTCAGAAATTTAAAAAAGTTAAAATCTGCTTATTTATGATTATACAAGTTTTTAAACATTTGTATGATCATATTACCAGTCTTTTCTTATTAGAAGTTTGACTTTTTAGGCTACTGTTGGGAATATTTTTTTGAAATTGGGAAAAAGAGAGGCTACTTTAGATTTGGAATTTCGGCCTCTGGTGAAAATGCTTGTAAGATGGAAATTGGCCATCCTATATATTTACAGGTTATTTGCTTCATTGAACTTTATTGTTTACTTTTATTGTACATGTATATCAAAAATATGGCATAATTGAATATTGTAAGATATACAGGTATATTGAAAAATTTAAATTTGACCTGATTTATTACAGGTTGCAGAGACTGAAATATTCATTGAAGAAGATGATTTCAAATTTTATTCCAAACCATTACTTCCTTAGGTAGTATTTTTTCATTTATTGAATTTTAAACTTTGTTTTTGCTTGCAATAACACACTAAATAAATGTTGGAGGAGTTATACTTCAATTGCGTCTTGGTTGCCTCTGTCGATCAGTCTGTCACCACAATGTCTGCTATAGACCTTGCTGAAATAAATATTCCTCTCTACAAGGCAATGTAAAGAATTCATGTCCTTGTGCCAGCTGAAGGTTGAGATTATGCTTGACGTGTAAATGATTGAGAGGCTGAGAGGCAAGTGATTTGAAGTAAACAACCTTAACTTCTCCACCATGGACACCCCTAAGATGATACATGTATCATGTTAGCTCTATATATACTATTACCCATGAAGGATTTTCTTTACACTTGGCTGAAATGTTCACTTTAACAAGTTCATGTGCAGTACCTATGGTACTTCTGTACAGACTTGGTCATTGTCACTATTGTCAGACAATGTTATATTTGCAGTTTAAAATCTAAAGGATTTGACAAATGTTATTTTCAAATGCAGGTTAGCATTACCAGGGAAAATAGTTGAAGATGGCAGAGAGAAGGCTGATTATAATGCAGACAATGGTAAGTTTCTATAAATAAATAAGAATTAGACCATGAACTGAATACAATAAAATAATCCCATCACAGACTTTGGGGACTTAAGATTTTTTCATGTGAGGAAGTTAGTCTGCTGGCTTAATGAGGTTGGTGGTTCTAAATCAGTATGGACTAATTACAATCAAATAATCCCATCTGGGACTTTGGATTTTTTCATGCGAGGAAGCTATCCAGCTAGTTTATAGAAGGTCAGTGGTTCTACTAGAGTGGCTACTTATGATGCATCACTTTTCTGGCACGGAAGGGCACCTGAGGTCTTCCTCCACCAGTAAAGCTGGAACATCGCGATATGACCTATACTGTGTTGATGCGACGTAAAACACAAAAACAAAACACAAACAAAATCACTTTTCTGAGAGAGTAAGCTGTTGGAAGACATTCCAGATCTTTTTCTTGGCTGTGAAATATAACCACATTATTTCGTCTTTTCCAAAGTTAACATGTTGTACATACACGCTTAAAATACTAAGTAAGAAAAACCAACTACCTTACACAATGACTTTTAAAATTAGAACACGTGTATGATCATAAATAACAAGACAAAATGGTTCATTTTTTTCTCAGAAAGTTGAAACAGTTAGAATTTTCTTGGATTGCAATTGGGAATTTTCTTTAAAAATCGAGAAAATAGGTTATTTGGGTTGAAAATTGGGCCATATATCAGCCCCTGCTAATATGGTGAAAATGTTTTTTTAAAAAGGCTCTATATTTGCTGATCAATTTGTATATTTAGAATGATATAAAGAACTAAACAACTTTTCTTAATGCAAATGTGACCACGTTCATTGTTCAAAGCCAATAGTGTAAGGGTAAATTTTATGGCTAAAAATTCCCTTATTAGTCCTAAAACAACTAAATACATGTATTCCCCTTCCAAAGGGTATGGGTACCTGTCCCCAAAAGTTGTCTAGTGCCCTGATTTATGATTTAACTTTTATGTGTGAATTTAATAGTGTAATAGTGAGTTTAAACATGATTTCTGATAAGTTGGTATATATTATTATAGGAGAATTTGTCATTGTGGTACCAAAACAGACTCCAGGGGAGCACTTTGAAGGTCTTGATATGCTGACTAAACTATTGGAAGCTAAAGGAAAGAAGCCAGCACCCTCGTCATTGATTGAGGTTATTGGTATGTTTTATTAGATAAGATAATGTGCTTTAATTGGTAATGAAATTTGTGTTAATGTGCATTATTTTATATTATAACACGACCCGCATTTTCCCCATTGAACATAGAAGAACCGAAAGTTTGTGTTATTATCCCCCGCCGATGGAATCGGGAGGGGGATATAGTTTTGGCGTTGTCCGTCCGTCCTTCCGTCCGTCCGTCCGTCCATCCGTCCGTCCGAATTTCGTTTCCGGAGTAGTTCTCTGCAACTAATGGCTGGAATTCAACGAAACTTTATGGGAATGTTGATCAACATGTGAAGTTGTGCACCTAGGTATTTTCGTCTGGATATTTTTAGTATTTTTAGAGTTATTGCCCTTGACTTAGTAAACGTCCGAATTTCGTTTCCGGAGTAGTTCTCTGCAACTAATGGCTGGAATTCAACGAAACTTTATGGGAATGTTGATCAGCATGTGAAGTTGTGCACCTAGGTATTTTTGTCTGGATATTTTTAGTATTTTTTGAGTTATTGCCCTTGACTTAGTAAAACGTCCGAATTTCGTTTCCGGAGTAGTTCTCTGCAACTAATGGCTGGAATTCAAAGAAACTTTATGGGAATGTTGATCAGCATGTGAAGTTGTGCACCTGGGTATTTTTCGTCTGGATATTTTTACTATTTTTAGAGTTATTGCCCTTGACTTAGTAAAATTTTGCAATTTTCAACTTGTGTTGCATGTAACTCAAAAAAGTATTTGACCTAAAGTCATGATACTTTACAGGAATGTTGATCAGCATGTGTAGTTGTGCACCTGGGTATTTTCGTCCGGATATTTTTACTATTTTTAGAGTTATTGCCCTTGACTTAGTAAAATTTGCAATTTTTCAACTTGTGTCGCATGTAACTCAAAAAGTATTTGACCTAAAGTCATGATACTTTACAGGAATGTTGATCAGCATGTTAGTTGTGCACCTGGGTATTTTCGTCTGGATTTATTTAGTATTTTTAGAGTTATTGCCCTTGACTTAGAAAATGTTTGCAATTTTCAACATCTTATGGTGGTCCCCTGCAAAAGTTGATCAAATGGTTCCGGTCTGTTGCATAAGTAGGTCACAGGGCCAGAAAAGGAGTTTCAAAAATGCAAAATAAAAAAATCTTGTCTGAAAGTACAAGGCCTAGAGCTTTGATATTTGGTATATGATATAACCTATAGCCCTGGGGTCAAAATTGGCCCCACTCCAGGGGGTCATAGATTTACCTTATATGTATATAGTGAAAACTTCTTCTTTTTTGAAGGTACAAGGCTTCAAGTTCAAAGAATATTACAGTTAATGCCATGATTAATATATTAATAAAGCCTTATGTCTTCAGTTGTTGTGTTAATAATAACCAGTACTCGGCGGGGGATATAAATTCAACGAATTTGCTTGTTATGCAATAAAATCACAGTTTGACGTTGTATAATTATTAAGACATGTGACTTAATCATGCGCGCAACGTAACCTCTTAAAATGTGACGCGCTGAAAATAAGTACAGAAACAAATCAGGCGCAATTTAAGTTGATATCAGTTACAGCAGCATTTTTTTTGTTGATATCGTGTTAGAATCGAAATAATATATCCAAATCAGTGATTTTATCGCTTGATAACATCACTGTTTGTTGTTCGGATGCGTATCATTATATCACTCGGACTACGCCCTCATGATATAATTTCTCGCACCCTAACTCCAAGCAGTGATGTTCTTGAGCGATAAAATCACAAACATATCACAAGCAGTTAAAAGGCTGGGCATGGTAACTTGCTAGAATTTCTGTAGTAAGATGTACATTATGTAGTGCACTTGAAAAGGACAGGACTGGTATTTCTTTAATTAAAAGTCCTGGCACAGTTCCTCTCAGTTTGTTCAATAAAAGCTTGAACATTGTAATAATTGGGTAATAAGAAGGCTTTACACACTTAACTAAAATGTGGTCAGAATTTGTTGGCATATTAACAGTAAGGTCTGTGAAATACAGTCAAACGTGTATTAAGCGACCGCGCGAGGGAAACATCCAAAACGGTCGCTTAATGAAACGGTCTCTTAAGACAGTCAGCATGATATAAAAGTCAAAATTTATAAATGACATCTTTCTAAAGAAGTGGGAATGTTTTTCAACTTCATTTTTATATAAATGTTGAATAATTAGTACGCTACGATATTCTAAATGGATGCATATGTAAAAAATAACTTTCTGATATTTATTGACAAATTACGTACATGTTTGACATTTTTTCCAGAGTTTTTTAACTTCTCAGTTGTTTTTCCTCGTCTCAAACACGAAAACCCTATTAGTGAAGATGTTTTCTGTTGTGCATTTTTCATTTGAAATAAACAAACTACATCTAATTGTTACGATTAATTTAATTGCTGATTAAGTTCAAGGTCAATTCAATGCAGTCTAAATGTCAACAAGCGAAGCGTATACACCATCTCAGTGTTGGCGGAGCGTTGCATTGTTTATCCGATATTATTGGATAATACACGTCACGGGTATACTTAACTTCATTTGCATACACTAAAACGGTTTGGGAAATAGAGTTTTTCACACGTTTATTTGTTGTGTTTTGATTGTTGACACTTGTGACATTACGAGGTGGCGCTCTCTAAAAACACAATTACTTGACAGATAAAAGTGGTCGTTTACTGAAAAGATTGATCTCAATTAGGTGACTAATTAGCGGTCGCTGGTCGCGTTGAGCAAAAGTCGCTTAATACATTAAAGATATAGAGAGAAAATGATCGGGGGGAATTTAAAGTGGTCGTTTAAGGCAAAAGTCGCTTAATACACGTGGTCGCATGGGCAAGTTAGACTGTATTTGTTAATTAAAGGCTCAGCCATGTAAATGTCAAACATTTTGATAATTTAAATGTACGGCCTTGGTCCTGTAACTAGATTAAGGCAGAGGCACTATATTAAACTTCTTGTAACAGCAGGTACAGTTATTAACTAAAGAATTACACTCCTAAGCATTTGATTATATCTCTCAAGTGAGAAGCCCTAACAGGCTCGGGCACCAACCGTTCCTCGGGACTCTGCAGACGTTGTAACATGGAAAAACGTACATTAACCCTATTTATTATGGAATGCATTCATTATCATAAACAAAGCTTAAAGGAAGTTTGGTGGTTCTACTTTAGTGCTTGTTCATGCTTGAAGAAATGCACCAAGTTCCATCTGAGATCTTCTACCACCAGGAAAGCTGGAAATTCATCATATGATCTTTATAGTGCTGGTGTGATTTAAAATAGAACCAATTGCTGATGAATGAAATACAAATGTATGTTAACATTGCTTTAACATTGTTTAAATTATGTATAGATGATGGTACATTGGAAGGTACTGATGAAGCTGATAATGATGATGACGATGAATTAGATGAAGATTTTGACTGGCGTATAGAACAAGTACCTTACAAAGAACAACCAAAATTAACAGGAGCTCCAAAATATGGTTTTGCTAACCAGAAGTCAGGGGTGTTTTCAAGACTTCAGGTAGATAATAGAATTGCTCTCGCCTCCCAGTCAACTAACATTTTAATTATTTATTATCTGAAAATACCAGTAAGTGTGTAAACCTTCTTTTGAGTGCAGATGTCTGAATAAAGGCGAGAAACTGTATGCTCAATATGATTCCTAAGGTGAAGTTAAAAATAAATATTCTTTCAGGTATTTGACAGTGGCTTGAGCCTTGCTTTGATGTATTCACTTACATTCCCTTGAATAATTATTTTAAGATACACCAATATTTCATTGAATAACTGTTTAAAGATAGCTAAATATATTGTGTGTTTATGAAGAACCCATGCCATATGAACCTGTTTTACAGTCAGAACTAATGTTCAACTAGCATTGTTAATCTTCACCATACTGAAACCTCAATTGATTTGCGTTTATCACCAGTGTTGATCCAGGTCAGCCTGCACATCAGTGCAATCTGAAAACTCTTCTATTTTTGTTCTCACTGTTCTGCTCTAAAATTTTAGTTGTCTTACTTTAAATTTTCATCTCTGTATCCCTGAATTTGATAATGGACTGTTCCCAAAATGGAAGCTGGACAAGTCCATGTAAGAAATTCAGCAGGCTAAAGGTTAAAATTTGTGGCAATTTTGATACAGCATTTCCTGATTTCTCAAGTTACAAGTTTTATTTTGACCCAGCATTTTCCATATTTCACAAGTTACAAGTTATATTGTATCTACTACGATGATTTCAGGAGGACATGGTTTATATAGTAGATTGTAGTGATCCAGACACAATGTGTGTAGCAGATCGACGAGAAGAGCGGATTCAAGCAGAAAATGACAAGTTTGATGAGGATCATTACATGTAAGTTTAAATGAAATTCACAATGTAATTGTAGGTGTAACGATGGATATGATTTGTGATTTTTGAATTGTTTGCCTTTCTCCAATGTTGGTTTGAATTCTGGCGCAGACGGTGAATCTTTGAATTGAAGGCATTAGAATTTTTAAGTGTGATGGTTTATACTGTAGGAGCTTGTATGATAAGCATGGAATAACGCACGATGGCGTATTTGGGGTTGTCACCTTTTTAAGTTTATTAAAAGTCACTTTAACAGTGACTGTATAATACAGAAGGGTGGAAAGGAGAAAGTCATCAAAGTTTATTTTGTCATTTAAGTAAGAAAACAGTCCTAGAATATGTTCAAAATTTTACTATTTTTGTGTGCATGATGAAACTGTATTATGCATATTCTTTCCTTACAATGATTGAGTGTATAACTGTTTGGTAATTACTGGTAGTTTGCTTGTGTTACTTTAGAGCAGACATGTATGAAGATGTCCTTATAAAACCGTTACTGGACTTCCAGCCACATTGGTGTGAAGAAGTTGATCTTGTTCAAGGTGGAACACCAGTGGAGATGGCAGGTTAGTAGTGTCCTAATGCCTTTTAATTGGTTGTTAATGCTCACTTTATTCCTTATCAACACTTTCAAAGTGATTTATTCTGTCATTAAATTATATTCAGTGCATGTTAAGACATTGCCGGGCAGTTTCGTGTGATACATGTAGGTAAAAATCTTACCAGACATGTTAAACTGTTGTTGTTAGCCTGAGGAAGAAAAAATAAATAAAAATTAGAAATTATGAAGAAATAAATGAGCCACGTCACGACAAAACCAACATAATGGGTTTGCGACCAGCATGGATCCAGACCAGCCTGCGCATCCTTGCAGTCTGATCAGGATCCATGCCGTTCGCTTACAAACTCTATAACAACTAGAGAAACTGATAGCGAACAACATGGATCTTGATCCGACTGAGCGGATACGCAGGTTGGTCTGGATCCATGCTGGTCGCAAACCCATTATGTTGGTTTTGTCATGACGCGGCTTAAATAAATCTTATTGAATAGCTGGTGTCTGGTTTACTGACAATGATTAGCTCAGTAGGGGAAGCATCATTAGTAATCAAGGGAACACTGGTTTGATCCTGTGTGCTGTGTAACAATTGATCTCAGACTTCAGACATTTGAATCTTATGGTCATTTGTCTTTCACTGCTGTTTCAGGAATCAATTGGAGTAAGTTGTCAGTCACTTGTGGAGAAATTGGTAGTTACTGGTTAGTTGTCCAGGAAAGCCTCTTTAAGCGGCAACCACCAAAACATGACCAAAAATGTGTTAAAACCTGTGTAAAAAAAATCAGGAAACAAACAAGACAATGATAATGAAAGCCAAGTAAAAGTGTTGTAGATTTAAGATTTTAAAAAAATGTTTATTTATTATTATGATTAAGTATAAAAGCTATCATACTTTTGCATTAATTTCAGTGGAGTTAACAGAGGATGAAAAAGAGGTTATGAGAAAACTACCACGAAAAGAATGTATCCTTCAGTATTCACTGTTATGAATAGAAGAAATGTCACATTACAGCTTGTAACCGGGAATTGAAATTGATTAGCCTTTGTGACCAGTATAGAGCCAGGCTAGCATGCACATCTGTGCTGACTGACTGGGCTCTATTCTGTTGGTTGCTTAAAATTAGTATTTTGATGCTAAAAAAACTTAAAATAAAAACACTTCCACATGTTCAGGAGGTCAAAGGTTATTGCAAGATTTCTCTGGAAAACAATTTGTCACGAAGAATGTTTTATTAATTCAAGGGAATATACTTAGCTTCAGTAAGGGAATAAAAGCATTCACATATGAAATAAAAATTAGTTTCAGTATGTGTATTAGAAGAATATTGGGCCTGTCCTACTTGTGTACAACTTCAGTTTCGGCTAAGGTTTCTGGAAATTTTATGTCTGACTAGCCACAAATGTAATTCATCTGAAACTCCATGTCTTCAGGTTCATAGGCCCCTTTTCAAGACTTGCAATTAACTTTTTTACTGAATTAAACTGCCACCCTGTTAAAACACTAACCTCACACTGATAATCTTGGGTCCTCAAAGCCTACAAACCCACCTCAATAATTCGTAATAAAATGTGTTTTTCAATAATCATAAAAATTGTACATGAGTATCTAATACATACTGCATGTATTAGTAACAAAACTTCTTTATTGTATATTGCAAGTACAATATATAAAAGTTGTACAAAAAAAGAAATAAAGAGCTAGAGAGCATACCTCGAGATTCTTGCTAATTGTCTTGAAAATTTAGAAAACATATCAGTCATTCTTTGCGTGTTACATATAAATTATATTACTTAAATTGTAAATGTTTAACTTTCCTTAAATCTTCTTGGCTCAACTAAAGGCATACAGCTTTAAACCCTTTAAATTTTGTTTCCGCATATAAATTTTGTTAGGTGTTTTAGCCTTGATATTTATTAAATTTATATAAAGTTCATGAAAAGATTCTTAACTTTTACTAAGATATTTTGGATGTTACCGAGGAAACTGGTGTATACCTTGGACTAGTGGATATTCTCTATGCATATTGTTACAACCATAGAACAACTGAAGGTGAAAATAATGTAAGTATTCTTAGACTAATTGTTTTCGAAAATATTTCTGCATACTGACTTCAGTTGGCATTGTTCATTTGCCCACATCATATTATGCCTAGCCTTGAAGTGAATAGACAAGCATGACTTTTATAGTTTTATAAAATTGAGCCATCATGCAGGGATCATTCTGGTCAGGATTTTTAGTGAGAGATTTTCTCTCATTTGAGAAATTTTAATGAGAGAAATTAGATTTTCTTGAGAGATTTAATTTTCCTGATGGGCGAGGTTAAAAATATGGAAATTTCTAACTTTTTAAAATCACTGTACTGGCATGCGAGCAGTTCCCGTACAGAAGCAGTACCCGTATTTTTCATTTAAACGCTTGATTTTTACATGCATTCTTCAAAAATTCATTTCAAATCAAGCAGATACATAAACGAGACAAAATCTAAGTGTCAGTTCGGCAGTACGTATAAAAAGTCTCATTTTAAATCACTTTCACCTGTGCGTTGTCAAAATGTGACCTTGTTTATCTGGGGGATTCCGTCCTTGCGCGCATGCGCAAACATACTTACACGTGAGGCATGTTAAAGGGTTTTCCACTAATACCACCTGTTTACAGATAAGAAGGCAATGTGATGAAAACTTGTTTAATTATCAGAATTTTGACCAATATTACTATATAAAATAATTTTATGGCTTTGATGCGTAAAATATCATGCATACAAGCATGCCATCGCATGTAAATGCGTTGGGGTAACAGTACCGGGTAATAGATACGTGTACGCGCTTAGTCCTGAATTACATCTATTTATCTCTTAGAAAATGGTCTGTTCAACAATTATAAATGAAAAATAGGTCTGATATAATAAAATTGTATAATTATAATGGGTTAAATTTTATGTACGGGAACTACTTCTCTTCATACAAAATAATGGATAATTTCGGTACCCTATATGAGGCCTCATAACTAAGGGTTATTCTATATTTAGAACATGATGGAATTTCCATGATTTGTGTGACGAGCCGAATATTGATGTGTAACATTCAAATTTTGGTGAGTGAGCGTAATAAAAAATAATGTTTAACTAACTACGATTTTTGTACGGGAACTGCTCGCATGCCAGTACATATAAACATTGTTTATCTAATGAGGATATAGATGTAGCTCTGTTTATTACAGTGATTTTTGTTTTCACTTTTTTGATTCATCCTATGCCTTTTCTTTTGTGAATTTTTAAACATAATAAAATTCTAATTGTGAAAAATAAATATAACACTTTCATTCTGAAATATAAAAAAAATATACATGGATATCTGCTACAACTATTATTTGCAGCCAATGTTCCTAATGGACAACACTGTACTGTACAGAAGTGATTGTTGAGATTTGAAGAATATTTTTTATAACCTTACATTTTGTTTTCTTTATGATTCTCTTCACACACCTTCCTCCATTAAAAAATATTCATTGAATATGTGACCTGAACAAATAATGACAAATATCTCCATATCCACAAATATAAACAATACCTAAAGTAATTTTTATTCATAAACATCATTTTAAGTGTTATAAAACACCTTTAAATACCACTCAGCTTCCTTTAAGTATTTTTTTTTAATCACGACATCGCGAAAATATGTGACAAATGAATATTTGTCTGTTTTCCGCTGAAACATTCACAATTCTAGCTGTTGCTGATTGCAATTATATAAAACTTAATATTTTTGTTCAATAAAAGAATATTTTTTATCGGCTATTTCATCAGGAATGGTAAAACAATTTTTTTTAATTTGTTCTTTACGGCAAAATTTACCGTGGTTGATGTGACATTTAGAAGATAAATTTTACCAGTATTTGTTTTTTGACATGTCCATTTTTATGTTAGTCTGTGTCTAACAATTTTTATTAAAATCAATTAAAAGTGTTTTGTGAAAATTCTCGACTTACAGATAGATAAAGGTTAGCCATCATACCGTATTTCTGTACGGTGAATTTGCGGTCTCCGATCGGCAATTATTTTAGGCTAAATAATTCAAAGTGTTGGACTACTTTTTGGAGTTTTTTTTACACCGATTTCATTAATAAACAATTTGAAATAAATTCTTGATGGGAATCGTAAATTTTTCATCATATTTTTGTGTGATTTAGGCATTCTTTAGATTGTGATTAGACATTTTCCGGCTCAAATTGCCGTGCAAGATTTTCTCTCATTTCACAAATTTCTCTGAGATTTTGGTGATTTTTTTTGCGAGAAATCGCGGAAATCGCCCCCTAGAATGATCCCTGGCCATGCCATGACAAAACCAACATAATGGGTTTGTGACCAGCTTGGATCCAGACCAGCCTGTGCATCCGCGCAGTCTGATCAGGATCCATGCTGTTCGCTTACCAACCCTATTACAAGTAGAGAGACTGATAGTGAACAGCATGGATCCTGATCAGACTGCGCGGATGCGCAGGCTGGTCTGAATCCATGCTGGTCGCAAACGCACTATGTTGGTTTTGTTGTGACGCGGCTCATATAAAAATAATGATTTAAGAGTTTTTAGATGCTTATCACAAGAAGTAAGTACATTTGATTGTACAATTATTGGTCATACAAGTAGCAAAATGTTAACAAAGTAGTATTTAAACTTCCATACAAAATATTAAAATCACTTTAACTGTACCAATTGCCAAAAGGCATCAGAATCAAAAGATAGGAAATTGACTAATGAGTAGCATTTTGGAAACTATAACATGACACCAAAAATAGATTTTTTTTTTTTTAAATATTAATAAAAAATCATTCCTTGGACATAATGGACTTTTAAAACATGAATTTGCATCAAATGTTATGACTGTGAATATTTTGTGAATTTGTCCCAATTACAATTTCAGTGTGAATCCGGTTGGACCATTTGTAAAATTAGTTCGACACTGTCTTGGTTAGAGGTTAGTATACAATAAGTTCTTCCTGATTAACTTTTCTGTAGAAATTTAGAATTTTAATAATGTTAGAGAAGACCTTAGACCTTAGATCTTACAATCTTTGCCATACACTAACACTGAAATCACTTTATCAATATTTTCTAGTCTAATGTATTGTAAGTTAATATTTTATATATGTCCCCTTAGCTCAATAGGGGGAATGTTGAATATGTTATCCGAGGATTGCTGGTTCAATCCTAGAGACTAAATTTCTCTGTGACAATTGACCTCATTCAGCCTTTCTAAAGGTTTAATATGTCTATATATTTTTAGATAAATCATTTCATATACTGGTAATTGTCAAATCGAAATTATTAAGGTAGAGAATGAAAATTACCATTGATAAAATACATAAACAATAAAGAAATCCCTCGATACCTCTAATTTACTGGTCCACTCTCTATATGTAAATTAGTAAAGCGGACAATTCGTTTTCTGATCTTCTAGTTTTAGAAACAAGTAATTTATGTATACATGTATTTCATATATTTCTTATTCAGGTGTTTTCAAGCTTAGAAGATGTTGTAAGAAGTTGCTTCCGAAGAAGTATATGTTACCCTTTGTATAGACAATGGAAACTGAACCAATCAGTATTGAAGGATGTTGTTACTATATTACAACTAGGTTAAAACCCTTTCATTCTAATCTGGATTCTATATGGTGTAAAAGGTTTATTTTGTGATAAAATAAAGAAGTTTCAAAAATGCATCATATCCGGAATTTTAGAGAAAAAGTATCTATTGTTTGGCACACATGTATCCTATTTGGGAAACAGAATTGATAATTGATGGTTTTACCTGTTTGCTTTCTGAAACCAGAAATGAGTTCTTGAGCGTACATCTCCAGTTTTCCATGGACATTTAAGTTGGAAAGATATCATACTCGGGATGGCAGTCCCAAATGATTATTTGGGTAAATTGCATTGTGGAAAATGCTTTAAATAGCACAGACTTAGATCAGATTTTGATGAAAATCTTTTTTTATGCTACAACTGGGGGTGGGTTATATAGATTTGCCCTGGTCTGTCACACTGTCGGCCTGTAGGGTGACAAAATGGTAGAATGTAGGGGCAATCATGTTCTATGGACACGTTTCTAGTTCAATTCTTATTGGATATTGCTTCAAATTAAGTGAATATACCTCAATGATGAAAATGCTTTTCTCAACTGTTAACTTTATTATAAGTTACTTTGATTTTATATAATTTTTTCCTAACTGATTTAGTTGATGAAATTTTACGGACACGTGAGTGACTGACTGAATTGGGAAAAGTTATTTAAAAATAAGACTTTATGTAAAGCTTGTAATAATTTCTGTGCTCGTATTTTTTCTTTACTTCCTATTGTCATTAAGAGAAGTTTTAAGGTTTCAGATTAAAGTGTGAAAGAATTATTTTACATTTGTAAAGGTGATATATTTTATATTTTCTGCAATTTGATTATTTTATTGTTGTATTTCAGGTAGGAGAAGCGTGTTAAAGGTATTACTGGAGATACGAGGTATATTGATGGATCAGGATTGTCGTTATGTACTCAATGACCTCTATATAACAGATTACTGTGTGTGGATTCAGTCAGCCAGGTAATGTACAATAGCATGTTTACCTTTATATGCACAATATACATACTTTGTGGCTGAGGGGTTGCCTTTAATGGTTGAGGCATCAGAATTGTAGCCCTCGTTTTATACCTGCGTGAACGCAAGAGGCCACTAAATTGGATATGGGTTTGAATAACTGTCTATGCATCTCTTATCTCCAGCAGGTGAGGTGGTTTTGTCTCCCAGTGTTGCTTTGAAGATTGTAAGACTAGTGGTTAGCCTAAATCATCTTCGTGTTTCGCCGCCATATGACCTATAATTGTTGGTGCGCTGTAAACCCAAACAGACAAGCCAGAATATAACCAAAATTAAGTTACTATAAATTATTAGTAAAAACCAACTATCCAAACAAAAAAGACTTAAGATAAAATGTTCATCAAACTAACCCATAATGTAAAAATATAATATTCTTTTTTTACAGTGAGAAAAAGTTGCAGTCATTATGGGAAGCTTTATCTAAGGTATTTATTTTGATACAATTTTGGAAAAGATTACACTTTTTGCTTTATGGGGCTGCACTGAGGTTTTTTTTGACATGATGGGACTGGAAATATTTTTTTCAAGACTTGTGTACCATTCAATGTATCATTCCCACATCCCGGTTTCAGGAAATATTATTTTTATTGTCCAAAATGACCCAAAATTGAAAAGCATTGCAACGTTTTTCTTTAACAATGGCACAAAAAAAATATATATTCAATTTAATTCTGAGAATATTTCTCTTATATCCTTTGCAGACTTCTCCCATTTAAGTGCTTTACTGAATATTTTGTAAGAATTTTAAACTTTTTATTTTGAGGCTTTTTGATCTCAGTGGAGCTCCTTTAAATTGAATTCATATATTCTTGTTGTTGAATAATTGTGGATGGTTATAGTTCCAATGTGCAGAAACATTATCAAGAAAGTCAGAAGGGCTCAGTGATTAATTAATATTTAGCTTTTGAACAATAAACCATGCATTATTGTACTACAACATTGCAAGAAAAAATTGATATCTATTTACTCTCTAATATGTTCATAGAAAGAGAATTGGTGAAATTATGTTGAGCGGAGGAGAAATATTCATAATATCGTTTGGTTTATAGACGTCACATCTGACATCAAATGGCGTTTAAACAGTCTCATATTAATGCACTTATAATGTAATTATGCACTCAATGAAAATCTCGAAATTTGAATCGTAGCTCAGAAATTTTTTTTAGCTTAAAACGTAAAAAGCTTTTTTTTTATCTGTTGGAGGACTGTCAGATTATTGTTTATATTGTGATTGCAGTGATTTCAGAATACCCAAAATTAAAGAAATTTGTCAGTATTTTTTATTGAAAGTGAGATGGGCATACGCGAAATCATTGTTAAACTGACTTAAAGTAGCAGCTGAATATTTTGTTCGGGTCGGGACATTTACATACAATATTCATGTCTTTGAAATTACGTAGACAATTGATTTTAATTTTCTCAAAGAAATGACCATAAGGTTAAGAAAATAATTTTTACAGTATATAAATGTCTATAAAATATTTCATCTGATATAGTTTGATACACTTTAGGGCCTGGATTTCTGCCACTATTTAGTATTGAGAAAAATCTTGCTCCATATGTTGTATTTTAATATTTGTCCATTATTCTATTTAAGTTGAAAATCAGCAAAGATGACATAGGTTTCAACTTACCAGAGCTTGAAAAACTAGCGCAGCACGCAATGCTCGGTGAAGAATCCAGCGATCTAGAAAACCTGACTGACAGATTAAGTAGCATTGATGTAAATAAGAAAAATAAGTCAGAAAGTGATTCTGAAAGTGATGAATCTGACACTGAGAGTGATAGTGATGATATAGACAGTGATGATTTATCATCATCAGATGATGCGGGTGATGACCACCACACTGAAGGTGATATAAGAAAGGTAACTGGTGTATCTGGAAATGGTAAGAGTGATATTGACTGTGAAAACAAAAACATTAGGGAGACAATCTGTGCAGAGTCACAAGAATTTGTAGGAGATGCAGTTGATACAGGTAATAGTAAAGTGACTGATACACATTGCAGGAAAGGGAAACCATTAATTGAAGAAATAAGTGATTCTACTGAAGATAAAGAAAGTGAACAAGTTAAGTCATTGAATTCCGTAGGGAAAAGCGAATCTACAATGATAGTTGAAGCTAGTGCTGAACAGGAGAAATAGATCAATTTGTTTCATTATCAGTTATTAACCAGGTTTTCCAAAGGAAAAAACTGGTTATTAGCTTGAGGTATGTCGGCGGGCGGGCGGACAGGCGAGCGTAAACAATTTCTTCTGTGCGCAACTCCTACATTTCTCAACGGATTTGACCAAACTTTCACAGAAGCTTTGTCATCAAGTACCCTGGCGCATATTGTAAGGGTTTTGCGATTGGATAATATTTGACCTAATTATGGCCCTTTGTTTTTTTTTCTTATATAGAATATTAGTGAACAATTTCTTTCGTGCGCAAGTCCTCCTACATTTCTCAAGGTATTTTGACCAAACTTTCTCAGAAGCTTTGTTATCAAGTGCCCTGGCACATATTGTCTGGGTTTTGTGATTGGATAATATTTGACCTAATTATGGCCCTTTGTTTTTTTTCCTTATATAGAATATATAGTGAACGATTTCTACCATGCGCAACTTCTCCTACATTTCTCAAGGAATTTTGACCAAACTTTCACAGACACTTTGTTATCAAGTGCCCTGGCGCATATTGTTGGGGTTTTGTGATTGGATAATATTTGACATAATTATAGCCCTTTGTTTTTTTTCCTTATACAGAATTATCACTACAGTACAGATAACGAGGAATATGCAAATTTCTCGGAGGATCGAGGAATTCACTCGCAACTCAACGAGAGTATTTTGCATTAAAAACGAGTGACTCCGCGTGTGAAACGCGTAATAAGAGTGACTCCGAGAGAAGAGTTATAGCGAGTCACTCCGAGAGAGAATTTCCGCGAGCCTCCATGTCACTTCCCAGTTAATTCAAATAATTAATTAATAATAAATTGAATTTTTTTTATGTTATTTTGCAGATTAAGTTCGTTTCTTGTGTTCCGAAAATCAGGTTCTTTTTCATGTTTTAATAATAACCAAGCGTCTACCGTTTACTTTACGGATAACTGGTGAAAGGGCGTAACAACACGTTTTTGTTTTTTCATTATTCCCTTTAAAAGGATACTCGGGCAAATGACAAAAATATTAAAATGATTAAATGTACTCAAATCACGCTAAAAATTTTTTTAAATTCCCATATAAATTCTATATATATAGATGTCGACAAAATCACCTGCCATGTGACTTGAAGTTAAAATAATAGATAAGTAAGGCAGTCATGTCAATTCACGTGTCCATTGTTCATTGAGGCCACTATTGTGAAATTTTTACGCTGTAACCTGAACTAAAGGCACGATTATCGGACCCGGGAAGAAAATAACAAAAACCTCTTTGTTTGTCAATTTGTCAAAAAAGGTGAAATATATGCACCCTTTAAAATATACTATAAGTTCTCTTCACTAAAAGTATATTTTAAAGGGGGCGTATATTCACTTTTTATGCCACCGCAGCATCTGCGATGCGGTGGCATATAGCGATTCACCTGTGTGTGTGTTTGTTTGTTTGTGTGTGTGTGTGTGTGTGTTATATAGATTATATAGTGAACTTAAAAAATCTTCTTGTGAAAAACCACTAGTCCAATTTCAACCAAACTTGGCAGGATTGATCCTTGGGTGAAGGCCTTCCAAAGTTGTTCAAAGAATTTCATTCCATGCAGAATTCTGGTTGCCATGGCAACCAAAAGGAATTATAAGAATAAATTTAAAAAATCTTCTTGTAAAGACCCAAAAGGCCTAGAGCTTAGATATTTTGCATAAGGCATTGTCTGGTAGACCTCTACCAAGATTGTTCAAATTATAGCCCTGGGGTCCAAATCGGCCCCACCCCAGGGGTCATTGATTTTCACTATATGTACATATAGTAAAAACTTAAAATACCTTCTTGTCTGAAGGTACCAGGCTTAGAGGTTTGATATTTGGTATGTGTTATTATCTATAGGTACTCTACCAAAGTTGTTCAAATTTTGCCTCTAGTGTCAAAATTAGCCCTGCCCCGGGGGGTCATAGGTTTTCCTCATATGTATATAGTAAAAACTTAAAAAATCATCTTCTCTAAATTGACTAAGGTTAGATATTTTGCATGAAACATTGTGTAGTGAACCTCTAGCAAGGTTGAACAAATTATAGCCCTGGGGTCAAAATTGGCCCCACCCCCGGGGGTCATTGATTTTCACTATGTACATATAGTAAAAAATTAAAATCTTATTGTCTGAAGGTACAAGGCTTAGAGCTTTGATATTTGGTATATGATATCATCTATAGGTACTCTACCAAAGTTGTTCAAATTTTGCCTCTAGTGTCAAAACTAGCCCTGCCCCCGGGTCATAGGTTTTCTTTACATGTATATAGTAAAAACTTTAAAAAATCACCTTCTCGAATTGACAAAGGCTAGAGGTGAGACATTTTGCAGTAAACATTGTGTAGTGAAACTTTAGCAAGATTATTCAAATTTAAGCCCTTGGGTCAAAAAAAAAAAAAAATTGTTCCTACATTACTATTTTAGTGTTGTATTTATGCGGTGGCATAGCATTTTTTACAAATGCAATCTTGTTTTTGTTCTTGACGCATCTAACATTAACATTTGAGTTTATTATCAATGTAGATATATTTTCTTCCCATGTCCGATACTCGTGCCTGTGGTCTGACCAACCCACGACTATATACGTGCTTGTAGCAAGTAAACCAGTTGCAAAAACTAGACAATCCCCATTTAAATAACAACGAAAAGTTGAAAACTACTTATTTCTTTTTTTACAAAATTATTTTTAAGACGAAAAAATGGCTATGTTCTGCTATGTGTTTGTAAGACTAGGAAAGTTAGTGACATAATGCCCATCCATAGGATTATATAATGGTGAATAATATAAAGGAGGAAAATGTATATCCATACAGATTTATTTGCTACAAAATAAATGCCCAATTTTGCACGAGTGATATTATAATCTGCTTATCTATGTCTCTGATGATTCGTAATTATGATACATGTATATATTTGAAATATTGTTGGACTAAATGCTTTTTATTAACCGATTAGTCGCTGTTTACAAACGATTCACGTTGTATTAGCAACCTTTTGTCGACATATACAAGTAAATTGTATACGTTGACAATTTTTAAGATAATGTATATTGATACTGAAACCAAACTTTTTTTTTTTCAGATGATAAGTTGACGTGTTAGTAAAATTGCAATGTTGCATGTACAGAAACTTGAAACTTTTTATTTAATTAAACGCCTGTTTCTATTTAACAATATTCAACGGCATTGTACAGTACATATAAACAACAAGAATAAAACTGTGAATGCATCAGAATATGTGGATCAACATCAAATGAAATAAAAGCTTTTACATACAATTCCAATTAACATATTTCTAAAAAATTGCAGAGACCATAAAATGATAAAACTGATTGATATACATGTAGCATGAGATAAGATTATTTACATACATGTAACTTGATTACAAATAGATTAAAAAGAATAAAACATTCATTTACATTGCACAATCAATATTCTTAGATTGTTTCAACTCTAATGGCAGCGGATTCCACAATTTTGGACCAATAGTTCCGAAACTTCTGTCACTAAATGTTTTTTTTTTATTGAATGGAATAACGTAGCAGTTCTCAGAGGTTATAGCTGAACGTAGTCGGGTATTTGGTACTTGTTTGGTTAGGAGTTCAGAAAGGTATTTTGGAGCATGACCGATTGAATAATTGTATACAAAAGTCAAAATTTTATATTCGATTCTAGATTTGATGGGCAGCCAGTGAAGGTCGAACAATGCTTGCCTTGAACTGTCAAATTTCTTTCGTTGCAGAACTAACTTAGCGCACATGTTTTGAATACGTTGCATTTTTTTCAATTAAAAAAAGACAGTGCTTTATGAAGCCATAGATGTACTTACCTTGATGACTGCAACCAGCACCTAATTAATAAGAACAAACTTCATTTGATACCCTTTTATTTCATTGCTTTTATATATATTCTACATTAAATCGACATAATTATTTTATTTACTAGTAACTAATTTTCAAATTTTATTTAACAGCAACTAAGTTCATTCTTGAAATACTAATACATATAATTACATTACATATAATACATTATTTACACTGTTACATTTTTCACACAGTACACTAACTGTTCATCTAGAGTCTAAGGTCATTCGTAAAATACTAATACTTTGATTATAATACATTATTTACACTGTTACATTTTTCACACATGTTCATAACAAACACTAACTGTTCATCTAGAGTCATCTTATTCAGTCTCATAGAAGGCGGTATGTTGTCTCAATGTTGTCATCGTTTAGAAAATCCACCATGCTAAAATGGTCCAGTTGGTGGCGGGATGAAACTGTCTTGTTGTCGTGCTGATTTGCTGACTGGTCGTCGCAGTCTCTCATTAACTCTTCCAGCTAACATAGGCCAGGCTGATTGTGTCTGTGACTCCGGGAAGAAAAAGTTTAAAAATCTCTTGACAATCTCTTTCTTGGGCGGTTCGAGCTTTTTTTTACCATGAGACCCATTCCAGTTATATTTCAGTCGCAGTCTTTACAACTTCGTCCGTCAAAAACTCTGACTGGGGCACAGACTGGATTGCCTCTGGATCTATGTTGCTACCACCACTCGACGACACAGACAATTGTCTTGAGGCTAGACCGTCCACCTTACACTCAAGTTTAGTGACTTGTCCTGAAATGTCAGACACACGTTTAGAAACACTCACTAAAGTCCTCTCCATGTCACCCATCTTTTTCATCATTTGTAGCATAACCGACTGGATTGATGTCATTGACGGCTGATTTCTCGTGGAACGAAACGTCAACATGGACGGTGACCCTGTTTCTGACGGAATCATCTGTTGTTTTGACGGCGTTTCTGATTTTGTTCTTGAGTTATCATCACTAACCTGATTCTGACAGTCTACGCTGGATGTCTCTGTCGTTTCGTCGTTAACTGACCCCACCTCATATGTCTCAGCGTCTTTGTCAGCGATAGTACCCTCGTCAGCGATAGTAAGCTTAGGTGACTCACATACAGGTGTTGATTTCTGAAGAACCTGGGCTTTGGGTTTCACGCTTTTTTTGACGGGTTCTTTCTGCAAATTGATATGAAATGCATGTAATTTAATGAAAGTTAAGTATTACATTATCATGTAAGCAACAGAATTGGATTAAAAACCGGGGGAGGCTTTATTATACTTATAATATTAATGCTTTAATTGTCATTAATTACTTGTTACGTAGTAATTACTTCGACATGAAGTCATTTGCGCTATATATAATCATAGTGTTAAAGGGCGCGAATGTTAGCGTTACACTATAGGAATATCATTAAATAGAGGATATTTGTTTAGTTCAGTGTAAGATCGGAATATATTTCACCGAGTGAGCACCAAAAGGTATATTTCACGAGTGGCGCAGCCACGAGTGAAATATAAACTTTTGGTGTTCACAAGGTGAAATATATTTAAAATATATATTTTAAAAAAAC